TTTAGGTCTTAAGGAGGTTTTTGTAATATTTTAAAATTATAAGGGTTACTTTGTAATTTTATAGGGGTGTTTGGGAGATATGTCAAAAGTTTAAGGATTAATTGGTAATTTTTTAGGGGTATTTTTGAAATAAATAAAATTTTTATGGACTAATTTAAACTTTTTTAAGGGAATTTTTGTAATATATTAAAATTTAAGGGATTAATAATAATTTTTAAAAAATAAAATTGTCCCTGACGTCGTCGGTCCAACTGATTGGACCGGTTGACCCGTAACCTAGGCAGCAAAACAGGTTGCCCTCTGATCCGAGTTTTAAAACAATGGTATCAAGCCCGACTTAAAAAATAAAATAAATATTTAAAAAAACTAAACAAAGGAAAAGATGTTGGTTTTTTAAATTTTAAAATGTCCGTGCTTTCTTTTATGTAATTTTTTTTGTAAGTTTTTTTTTTTTTTTAATTTTAAAACCAAATTTTCTCCTTTTTATATAAATAATTTATTTTTCTTATTTTATAATTATTTTTAATATTTAAACTTTGAAATCGAACAAATTTTTTAATTTTTAATTTAAAAACTAAAACCAAATAAATAACTAGGGATATCTAAGTCTTTTTGTTGTTTTATGTTAAAATTAACAAGTATCCTTAAATTGAACAAAGTTACTATTTAGTGTGTCTAAATTGAATAAATTAGAACTTGGGTTTATTTTTTCCCTAATTGAACAAAGTTACTATTTAGTATCTGTAAATTGAACAAATTAAAACTTGGGTCCATTTTTTTTCCTAATTGAACAAAGTTATTATTTTAGTGTCCCTAAATTGAACATATTGAAACTTGTGTGGGTGTTTTAGTAATTCATGAAAAAAGTTGTACCTAAATTGATAATATCCTATTGATTTGATGTTTATTTGACATTTTTATTAGGATATATACTTTAAATAATGAAAAGAAAAAAAAAAAAAAAGTCATGTATGAGATGCGCACAAATTCTAACTAAATCTAAATCTATATAAACAATCACTTGTTGAAATTTATTACTTTCTTTTTTTCTTCAAATGTTTTTGATGATTATAAATATATAAATTTATACCAACATTTCAATGTTTATAATTTTTGCTAATTATTTTATAATTTATATAAGAAAAAGAAAAAGAAAGTACATGAATTAAAAAAAAAAAAAAAGACATTTGTAATACATTAAAGCAATTTAAATATTTAAAATATTCTATTTTTGCATTTTTATCAAATATTTTTAGAGTAAAAAATATATTTGATGAGCAGACATACCAAATTATCTATATTTTATGCATACTTTATCTATATCATATATGATATTATAATTAGGGCATTTATGTAAAAATCTAATATAAAAAGACTCTAAGTTCCCCGATCCAAAATAAATTATATGTCAAACCGTTTACTATTGAAGATAAAACAAGTTAAGTTTATAAATTTAATTTCAAATCATTATATAAAGTCCAATTTAATAAATTAAAGAACCCCAAACCCATTTCAACTTTTATCCTATACTTTTCTAATTTTTCCATTTCAACTATTTTTTTTTAAACTTCTATATATAGTTTTCTTTAAGTTAAATGCTACTTTAGTTTTTATGCAAAATTCTGTTATTTTCAATGACCTTGATCAATTAAGTGACCATATATATATATATATTGTAACACCCCTCTCTAACCGGGTACCCTCCAAGTATTCCATTATGATAGAAACTTAGAGAATTCACGCTTGAAAAGTTGTGTAAATTAAAACATAAATCTTAGTTACAAACACGTTGTCTATGAAAATAAAAACTTCTCTTCTTATGATGTTATATGAAGAATATTATTTTTGAAGTAAGGTATATAGTTTGATGTTTATAATCTAAGTTTTATGAAATAATGAATATGTTTTGCTTATAAATGATGGAGATATTTTAGATTTGTTTCTGCTGTTAAACAATTGATATAGTTGTTTTCTTTAAACAATATTTTTTTCATATATAGTAATACTTCGAGAGATTGATTATGAAAATAATATAAACGAGAGGAGAAGTTTTATTTATTTATTTATTTTCATATAATACATGTTTGTAACTAGGATTTATGTTTAAATTTACACAACCTTTCATACTTGAATACTTAGATAATACCTGGTTGGAAGGGGGGTATATATATATATATATATACACCCCTTCCAACCAGGTACTATCTAAGTATTCAAGTATGAAAGGTTGTGTAAATTTAAACATAATACATGTTTGTAAGTCCGATATATATATAAAAGACCCCCCTTCCAACCAGGTACTATCTAAGTATTCAAGTATGAAAGGTTGTGTAAATTTAAACATAATACATGTTTGTAAGTCCGATTTATTGTAAGTAGGATTTATTGCACAACATTTCATACTTGAATGGAAGGGGGGTCTTATATATATATATATATATATATATATATATAAAAGACCCCCCTTCCAACCAAGTGCTATCTCAGTATTCAAGTATGAAAGGTTGTGTAAATTTAAACATAATACATGTTTGTAAGTACGATTTATTGTAAGTACGATTTATTGCACAACATTTCATACTTGAATACTTAGATAACACCTGACTGGAGGTGGGGTCTTATATATATACACGATTTTTTTCCATAATGAGACTTTGCCACCCGTCACTTTTCCCACCTATCAAGTTTCAAAACGACACTATTTCCACCCACCATTATGTTCCATTAGGGAAATCCTTTCTCTGACATGGTATAAACGGTGTAAAGACGAAAATACTTTTCCCTCTTATTCTTCTCTTCGTCGCTTTTGGTTCAGGCTACGATTCCGGTCAATTTGTTGAGTAGGGCTTTTTGTCGAGCACCTAGTGTGCATCCGAGAGGAAAAGAAAGGGGAATGGTTGGGGAAGGTGGAAAAACCAAGAAAAACACCAAACTCAAGCCAACAAACGCAACTCAACACACTAACAATACCAAAACAACCAGAACAACAATCATAATGCTTCAAAAAAGGCAAAACCTAGCTACGGTGGAAGGTCGCTGTTCACGGGCGACGAACTGTGAGTAACTAGGTGTTGAGGTTTGAGGGGTTTCGTAGAGTGGAGGTCGGAGGTTGTAGTTAGTGGTGGAAGATTGAATTTTGGCTGCCATAATCAAGCAGAAATCAACTTAGAAACAGCGAAACCTAACTTGCAGCTGGCGGTGGACAACGGCTTGAAAGAGGCGGGGATCAAAGGGTTTTGGTTAGAGAAGGTCAGGGAAGCTTGTGGTGGTGACAGGGAAAGCCAACAACAACAAATTCTGACCAAATCGGTCGGAAACGGTGGGTGGGGAAGTAAGTAAAACTTGACGGTGGTTGATTAATTTTTTTTTTTCGAGTTAATATATAGGGGATAAAATGACGTAATTATCTCTTGACTACTTTTTAAATTTACTATTATATCATTCTTCAGTTAAACTTGACGGATGAATTTTAACCTCGGCGATAAAGTTGTGTTTTGAAACTTTTAGGTGAGAAAGTGTAGGCCAAACTTTGGGTGAAAAAAAGTCGTTTACTCCTGTATAAACCTACCAATCTTTTCGATGTACTCGTGAAATGTTGAAAGCTAGAGAGGTCTTTGTAATTAAATCTAAAATTTGGTCATAATTTCTCAACCATACAATTATCCCAATTCCCATATTGATTTCCTTTCTAATCACAATTTTTTATTTTTACCTAGCCCCATCTATTTGACTGTTGCTACACTATATTGTCACCCCATAGATTTCTTTTACATTTTACTGTTTATCTGCAGGGCTATTATTGCCTCCAAGATTGTTTTACTTTTACTTTTACGACAATATTTCGATTCATTTTATCTGCCCCATCTATTCTACAGTCGCTTCTACAGTAGCAGGCAATGTTATGGACCTTATGGTACAAGTTACTGTTACCCAAGCAACGTTACTCTTATACTTGGTATCATCTTCGTTAAAATCGTGATTTAAAAACAGCCATTGGATAGTTTGATAATGAAAAAGTAAACGAAAATTTCATGAGTTTTTTAGTTTGAATCCTCCCAATCACTAATAGGGGTGATCATTAAAACTTTTATCTAACCGGTACTTCTAGAGTCCTGAAAGATTAGTTGAGGTATACATAAACTGATCCGAATATTCTTAGTGACTAAATATGAACCCGTAAATATTATTTGAAGATTAGTATTGGTTGATTGTATTAAAAAAATCATCATAAGATGTTGATCAACTCATTCAATTGGTGATTAAAGATTTGTAACTTGTTACAACTTACATTCATACATTATTTTATTAAAGATTAGTGGTAAAAAAAAAAAAAAAAAAAAACAATATGATGGTAACCAAACTCTTTCTTTAATGGTTCACGAATAGTATCCTCGTAGCATTAATAGCCTTTGGATTATGCGGGACTTACACGGGACTTGGAATTTCTACCTTTCGGATTTTGATCTACAGAACAATGATATGATAGTTACCAACCTTTTAGTAACTTGTTACTCGGGGCTTAAACCCATTAATGTTACTGAGAATTATTAGCCGTTAGATCTTGTTCAAAAGAAACATGATGTGATGGTTCCCAGCCCTATTGTAACATTAAAGGGGTGTTCCAATGACAAACAAATTTTCACATGAAACGACAAAAGTTTTATCTAGTTCTAGATTACAAAGTATGATCCCGTCAGAGGTTTAAAGTTCGTACAATTATTCAATTAAGAAAAATCAATACTTTGATATTTTCAGCAGTAGAAAACAAACTAAATATTATAGTAATTCTTTTATTTTATTTTTTTACACTCAAGCAAATATCATCAATGTCCTATTAACACGGCATCAATACCAAATAATTTTTAAATTCAACCAAATTTCTTTAATATCTCTTGGCTAGCTAAAACACACACTACAAAAATCTAATATTGCACTTGCATTATTATTGCTAATTCAAAATCACACAGTTACAACAATTGCAGTTTTATTCTACTTCCAAGTACACTACGACAAGAAATTTCGAATTTTTCATTATTTGTCAGATATATACGAGTATCATATTACCGCACAAACAGAAATCTACAGACACTGATGCATGTTACAAGTATGCCAATCGAATCTTTTGGCGTCGTCACAGAGATAATAGAACCCAGACCCTTTTAAAGCTCATATCATGCCTACAGATGCTAACTTCAGAACATGTTTAAAGAAGATCCGGTGTACCCCACTATGATGACCACAACGTTTTCGATATGCAAGTGGGGTAAGAGTTAGATATTCGATTGGTCTTACTACTCTTCTCTATTGCTATGCATCCTGCTATTATCATTAAAAGCATTGCAAGCACTTTTCGGATTATCTAACCCTTGCACAAGTGCACACTCAAATTTGATAAACTCTCTCCTTAGTGAAATGATTTCATCACTGGTTTAGCAGTGCTGCATGCAGGGCAAATGGTACATAAGGCACTACCATGGTTCGGAGTTATTACCAAGAAAATTTTTAACGTATGAGGGCTTGCTCCAACCTTCCTCCATCGAAATGAGGTTGAGGCGTATCATCAGTTTTTCCACAGCATCATCCTCCAGGGAGCTCGTTGGATCAGAGGATGGCTTTTCTAGTGAAGAACTCTGTAATGTTAAATAGAATTCCTTAGTCTGTTACAACATAAAAGTCATTAAGTCGTGTTACAGAAAATTGTACCTTCGCTTCCTGATACAATTTGAGATATTGCAGAGATTGCTCATAAAGTCCGCAATGATAGAGAAGAATGCTGTAATCTCTTAATTCCTTGACATCAGTTTCCATGAGAATAAGACGCTCGCACGCTGTAACAATAGTAACAGTTTCCAGATGAAAAATATGTATGCCAGAGCAATGCATGTAGAAAAGATTTTAAATGAAAAAAGAAAAAAAATTAGAGAAGAATATATAGTGAGAAGGAAATCATTTCACCATCATGTTAATTCTCTAAACAGTCAAATATCCGAAAACAGAAATAAGTTATTTATAGGGTTAAAACGTTACTAAAAAGAAAATTAGAAATTTACCCACACAAGCAAAGGAATACTAAATCAACACAAGTAAGGGAGAAATAGATAAAAAAATTCCAGAATAAAAATAACTCCTCTTTCCATAAAATAACTTCTGTAAAATCTTAAATCTTGGCCTCAAGAATGCAAATAAAACAACGAGGAGAGGAGAAAGCATAATGGGATATGGGAACAAAGATCTTCAAGTGTCCTTTATCTTCAAGCTGTCTTTATGTTCACCTTAACTTTACACTTTCTAGATCGAACATTTTAAAAGTTCCTACTCAACTCAATATACAAAACGACTAGGAATTTCTTCCAACAACTCTCAAAATAAATGAAAATTGTTAAACAAATACATGGCAGTACTATATTAATAACTCCTTTCAGAACTAAATATGCCAAATCATCGTGGGTCCAAAGTGCATCAAGTGCATGGAAGAGGCAGCAAAATCCTTCAATCTCTATGGCTTTACATGAATAACATGCCAACAACAGCATGCCAAACGCATCTTGTTTTTTTTTTTTTTTTCTCATATTCTTGCATAATCAGCGCAAGTACAAAAAAGAATATACTAAACACATCTATTATCTTACAATTACATACCGGCTAATGCACGTCTCATATCCCCAAAGCGTACACTGGTCCAAACACCACGCTCTAACCTGTGTTTAGCAGCCTTCGCTGATGCAAGCTGCAAGCCACTGCAGTAGAAAAAAAAATGAAATCAGAATAAATAAAGCCCAAAGGGGCGGAGGGGAGGAGAAAGAAATCTCAGTTGAGATTATAAAAACTACAAAGAGTTTTCATATAATCACAGGTTAGTTTGCAATATAGCTCAACTACCTGTCTTCACTGTCTAATTGTTCAATGCAGTTAGCAGCATGTGCTGCCCTTAAGAATAAACTCCGGGAGAAATCATGTTGAAATGGCCAGAAGGCACTCTTTAAATTCCTTAAAATCTGCACAGATTGTACAGTATAAACTGAAGCAGGCACTACCATACATAAACCAAATAAAGAGCCTCAAAGATAGCAGCCATGCCGTGAATGTAAACAGGAACATCTCACAAAGAATCCAAACAAGACTCAATTGCCGTGAATGTCGGCAACGATATGCTAAACTCACACGAAATCACATTTCTATGCTTTCTCAAAATGCATATTTCTGGGGAAAACTTTAATTTGACTCTGTTTGTATATCTAATTCTAGCCTTCAATATGTCCCTCAGTGATGTTCTTTTTCTATTCTATTTTTTTTTTTTTTTTAAAATAACCCCTGCATATATCATGTATTATTAATGTTGCAAAATATAAATGAATCTCTACGCTTAACTTCAATTCAAACGCATTAAAGTGGAATTACTTACAATGGTCTCATAAATGCCTATGAATTTCATAAATCTTGTGAATGTTTAACATGCAGTCTTTCTGAGAAATTAGAGTATATGCATTATCAAATTAGTTAACTAACAATTGTCATCTAAAACAGCATCATATTGCATTTTTTCTTCAATTGAATCTCACAGAGAAATACTCCTGATCTAAGTATGATGATCCAACTATGAGAATAAAAAAAGAAGGAAACACAAAAGTCAATAATCATTCCCAAAGTCGACTAACTCATATATGACAAAACGTAATAGAAATCATTTCTAACATTTTCAAGGGTAAAGTGCACACATTCAAGTACCATAATGGATCTTCGGTCTTCTTTCCTTAATTTCCCAAATGCAATTTGCCATATGCTAATTGCAAATTATTTACTTTAGTTTCTTAGTAGTTAGTACCATGAGTCCACAATTGATTTGCTGATTAGTTCCAGAAGACAGTTATCATGACACAGAGATTTTTTCAGTTACCATTTACCCTTTGTAAAAAGAAAATATGAAAAATGGAGAATTCAATCTTTATTTAAGAATTGAAAACACAAAACTTAAAAAAGATGTTTTCCGTCCTTTCATTCTCAAAATTTTAAATTTATCATAAGAAAATGATAGCAAACACATTTTTACTGTTTTTATTTTCAGATACTGTATTCAAAAAATAAATTTTTTACTGTTTTTATTAACACAATTTCAAATTCCGAGAACACAAAATAAAACTCCTTATTTTTATTTTCGAATGCATTTTTTTTTTTTTTTTTTACAAAAACACCGAATAACATATATCTAGTATCTTAGCTTAACAGACTTGAGGTTTGCTAAATACAGGAAAGAAAAATAATACAAATGTGAGCAAGTATATAAAAGTACCTCCTCCAACAATATTTGCACAGTCATAATGTGTGACTGATCAGATTCCCTGCTCTTCTGCTTCTGATATCCCCTAGGAAGACCATGGTCAAGAGGGAATGCTATCTCCACGTCAAAATCTACAAGGCCCCATAAGCGAAGCATTTTCAGGATTTCTGAGTATACAAGCGATAGCATAACAGCGGAGCCCGAGCGATGTGTCAGAACCTGCTCATGGTGTTAAGACAAATAACTGAAAAATTCCCTTATGATAATGTTTTCTCCAATGAGGAATATAGAATTGTTGAGAGAAGGAAGAATTCCATACTGAGTGAAGATATAGTGCTCTTGGATCTATTTGATTTCCCGCACTGGTTCTCCGAAAACCCTAACATGAAATCATCAAATCAGGTATAAGAAAGCTCCACTGCCTGACGATACACTATACAGTTTATTAAACACATTTTGGATTGATATAAAAGAAAACAGAAGCATATGAAGATTATGAAGAACTCTTTACAGCATTCAGTACAGAGCAGGGGACACACTTATTAGGATATTCTAGTTCTATAGGTTCTGCAGTCTGCTCATGTTTGCAAATTTATTTTATTCATTTTTTCCAATAGGATGCTGATTAGATGTATATCAATAGAAATTACAAAACTGGATCCGATTCCACAAGACTACAAAACGACTCCCAGCAGAGGGGAATCTGGAACTATACAAAGATCATTCCAAATCCACTACATTACATGTTTGGTACTTTAATGTGTATCTCAAGACCAGTTCAAATGGACTTAGTTAGCTATGAGTGAAAAAGCATTACTGAGATCACACACACAACACAAACACGCATGATAATGCCAACCTGCTGACCACTTACACTATATAAACTTCTAAGTGTCATAAAAATACAAAAATGTACTCCTTCCTTTTCTGCATTTCCTTTTATTTGAGTAAACAAAAAGATTAGCTCAGAAAAATTACCAAGAATACAAAATTAACCACTGTAAACATGTCTACCAACCTTTTTATCAAACAAATATCTCTCTATACTATCCAAAAAATTTTCTCGTGATGACTTCAAAGATGAGTTATAATGAGGGCAATATCCCACAGAAAGATCATCCAATCGGTCGATGAAAGCATCCACAGGGAGGGGAACTGATGAATGTGATATCAGGGAGTCATCCTCTGCTGCTATATGAAGAGCTGTTTTCCCCAAATCAACACATCTATTAATGCTAATACTGGTTTCCCTTTCAATATTGGATAATTTATTGATCTGAGAGCAAAAACCCTCTCTAGCCTCCTGTTTAGACATAAAAAAAGAATTGAAATTAAAGAATTTAACTTTCATATGGAATAAAGAGATGTAAAGTAGTTAACATATTATTCAATTTACTCATCCCACTGATATAATCAGAAAGCACAAGCATGTTTTTCTGGTAAAAACAATGGCAAACACGAATCACCTGGTGCACAAATTTAACAAACATTTTCTTTTTTGTTTTTATTTCTTTCATCCTTTTGGAAGATACAATGCACATCAATTTGAGCAAACAGTAATATTTCTCGGTTCACTAAGAAAAGTAATTAGCACACCTTTAATCTAGTAGTAGAGAAATGGATACTTAAGTCTATGAACAAGTCCTGGGTAAGTTAGGTTCAAACCCTTCTTTAATCACAGTCATTAAGATTCACTAGATTATAGTTAATTGTCTCCTTGGAATGTCCTTATCAGTCTCTAAAACACATTTGTTTCCTTTTGCCAAAATTTATTCAAGAAAATTAGGGGTCAGTTGGTATTGCTTTAAGAATATGTTTTGACAAAATGAATTCAAAAAATGAAAACAATGAAATGCATTCAAAGTTTTATTTATTTATTTTTTGTGAAAATGAGAGCAATATATTTTAAACATACAATAGTAGAATACCTTACATAAAGATTCTTAATAATCTTAAAAATAAAGTTAAAATTACTTAATTTGTTTTGTTATTTTGGGTAGGAATTTTGAAATAGTATTGTTAAGTTGAGTTGAGTTATTATTACGAAAATATGATTTGAATAAAATGTATTTGATAAAGTGTTACTTGAATATTGTGCCAAACGTGTATTTTTGAAATAGGATAGAGAATAGTATCTGAAATAGTAAACCAAAGACACCCTAAACAACTCAAAAGTGCTTAATGATTTTGAGAAAAACCCAAGAGCAAGCAATGCACAAACTTTTTCTTTGTCTTTTCTTGGTTAAAGATGAAGATGAAATTTTCTATTTTATGAAAAAAAAGTCTCTAAAAATAATTGAAATGTGTTTTTCTTATTTTCTGAAGATAAAAAAAAAAAAATCATTCTCAGGAGACATTAATGAGTAGCTCTCATGTCTGTAAATACAAGATCATCTTCCTTTTTCTTATTTTCTGAAGATATTAAAAAAAAAAAAAAAATAAATCATTCTCAGGAGACATAAATGAGCAGCTCTCATGTCTGTAAATACAAGATCATCTTCCTTTTTCTTCCTAATCAAAACTATATTCTCATTTACAGTCAACATCTTCCGCAATTATGAAGAATACATATATGTGTGTGTGTGTGTAAATCAACATCTTCCGCAATTATATATATATATATATATAGAAAATAAAACAACTTGTAGAAGTCTTAGCCATTAATTTTCAACAAATTCTTCAGTCATTCAAGGATCTTTCATTCATAAGATTAAAAATCCATTAACAAAAAATTTTAACTTCCAAGGATTCGCCTCTTTTCTTGACTAAACGGAATATTACCTAGTAATTTCATTTTCACATGTAATTCTTACCATAAAAGCACTTATAAACAAATATTCTAGACTTCCACAGATAAACCAAATTCAATAATGAAAGTTCTGTAATGACACTGAAACCAGAACCCTTAAATGCAAAAGATCATGTGAAAGAGAAAAGATTCAAATTTGCTTATATCCAACGTTCTATTGATAAAGATTCCAAATAAATTCCATTCCAGAAGTAGAAATTGTGAAACGTTCTGGGCCCTTTTCATTTTTCGAGGATTAGATTTGGATAATACAATATAATATGGAAACTAGAAATTACAGAAGTACAACACCACTCTGACACTGGCTTATTAACATCCAGTCCCCAGACAATGAAAACAGTAACAGTTATGGCCTATGGGTCATGCATTATTTATTACTAAAATGATCTAGTATTACAATTCTTATTTTGTTATTAATTTGAGACTAAATACTATAAATATGATGTTGCTTCAATATTATCACCCGTTGCTTCAATATTATCACCCACAGAAATACAGAACAAGACCAACAACGTAATGCATGAAAAATCAACAAACCCAAATAACAAAAACTTTTAGAATTTGCAAAACAAGAAGATAAAAATTAATCTGACCAGAAGAAAAGCATCAAACTACATGATAAACAGACATTTTAATATTATAAACATGACTTCACTATGATATCACCAAAGAAATACACAAGACCAACAATCTAAGTACCAAAAATCAACAAACTCAGATGGAAAAAGTCACTTAGATTACATAGAATCATATGGAGAGTATCAATCTGGCTCATTAAGAGGACCAAAGTTCCTGAAAAGCAGACATGCTAAGATTATAAATATAACAAGAGCAACAATGTAAAGCACTGAAAATCAACAAACCCGGACAGCAAAAGCACTTAAATTGCACAAAAGCACAATATAAACATTAATCTGACTCAATAAAAGCGTAAAAAATCCATGAAAAGCATACATTTTAATGTTATAAATATGACTTTGCAATGAAGATCGACAATATAAAACACGAAAAATAAACAAACACAGATAGCAAAATCACATAAAAAACATCACTATGGCTCAATAGAAACATCAAAACCTTAGAGAAACAAACATGTGACAAACATGCTAGTGTTATAAATATAACAAGACCAACAATCTAAAACAAAAAAAATCATCAAACTTAGATAGCAAATCACCTGAATTTCTTAAAATCAAATGAAGAACATCAATATGGTTCAATAAAAGCATCAAAAACAAAGAAAAGCAAACACGTTGATATTATAAATATAACAAGACCAACAATGTAAAACACCAAAAATCAACTAACCCAGATTGCAAAATGACTTAAAGTAAAGAAATTCAGATGAATAGCATCAATCTGACTCAACAAAGGCATGAAAATTCAAGAAATAACAGAAATGCTAATCTTAGATATGACAGGACCCATAAATTAAAACGCCAAAAACCAACAAACCGAGATAGAAGAATCACTTAAATTACGCAAAATCAATGCGACTCAATAAAAGCATCAAAAACAAAGAAAAGCAAACACGTTGATATTATAAATATAACAAGACCAACAATGTAAAACACCAAAAATCAACTAACCCAGATTGCAAAATGACTTAAAGTAAAGAAATTCAGATGAATAGCATCAATCTGACTCAACAAAGGCATGAAAATTCAAGAAATAACAGAAATGCTAATCTTAGATATGACAGGACCCATAAATTAAAACGCCAAAAACCAACAAACCGAGATAGAAGAATCACTTAAATTACGCAAAATCAATGCGACTCAATAAAAGCATCCGAATTCATGAAAACACAGGCGCATTAATATGATAAATATAACGAGACCCATTATGAAAAACTTCAAAAACCAACAAACCCAGATAGGAAAATCACTTAAATTATAAAAATCACAAGTAGAGGATGAACAAAAATCAATAAAAGAATCAAAATTGATTGAAAAAAAGAAAAAAGAAAAAAGAAATGAGAATGATTACTCGGGCATAGGTTGTATCGATTCCAGTAGAGTCCAAAGCGTCGTGCAACGCCAACTTGAGCTCACTCGCGGCGTACGGCGCTTGGGATCCGCCATGACACACTACTCGGAAACACGATGACGGCAGCGGAAATTTGGAGAATTTCGGAGAAGGACAAAACGACGCCGCAGGGTATAAGGAAAGAGTCATGATTTACAAAGAAAGAGATGAGAGAATAGAGAGAAAATAAACTCTAATTATTGGAGGGAGGAAGAAGAGAAAGTGAAGGTTTTGTGTGGTAGAAAATGGCTGATAAGTAAGAGAAATTAAAAACATCAAGGTTGTGCCTGTGCATGAAAAAGACAAAGCTTTCGAAAATGACTGATATGTGGATCTTTTTGAGATTTTTTATTTTTGAAAAACGGTTACAACTTATCACTTTTTAGTTGGAGTAGGAAAATAAATAATAAATAAATGTACTATTTTACTAAAAATGTCACCAAATCTTGAGTTTAGCCCACAGATAAAGACTCAATGAAATAGCTACATGTGACGATATGTTGCCGCACAATTTATTGTCAATTTTCACATGTGTACGAAATTATATAAGTAATACATTATAAAAAATATACGGATATGGAATTACTATTATCAATTACGAATTAAACTATCCTATTACTATTTGATCAAATCATATTTTATGAAAGAAGAATCTAAATTAAATAAAATTAACAATTAAAATTAAAAAAAAACTAAACAGAGAACAATTAAAATAAACATTTGGGTAAAAACAAGATGACTAGACCTAGGACATAGACTTCACACCAACTCTTATTCATATGTATCAATCTCTTATGCTAATTTTATTAAGTTTTTCCTACAGGTCAAACTCCTTACAGGCTTCGTTTGGTTCAAAATTTAGGGGTTTTGGGAAAAGTTTTTTGAAAAAAGTTTAAAAAAAGTTGAATTGGGTGGGTATTACGATGTAGGATTTATAAATTAATAAAATGTCACCTATGTTTGTTTTTTTACAAAATACCCCCTATAATAAAACATTAAAAGTTAACAAAAACAGCCCCAATCCACCCTCAAATACCCCCAGCCGGCCACCACCACCGAAGGTGGCCGGAGTCGCCTTATCGGCGTATGACTGGCTGGATCTTGCCGGTCATACGCCGATATGGTATTTTCCGGTCAGATCCACGGTGGATCTGGCCGGCAAAGGCTAGATCTACGGCCAGATCTGGCCGTCAATGGCCAAATCTGGCAGTATTTGCTCTCAACGACTGCCAACAAACGGTCGTCGTTGATGGTCAACGACGACCGTTTGTTGGCCGTCGTGACCGACTGTTACGGCCAAAGATTTGGCCGTCAACAGCCAGATCTTTGGCCTTAGATCTGGCCTTTTTCGGCCAGATCCACCGTCCTACCAGATTCCGGCTATTTTCCGGCGGTGATGACCAGAATCTTGTAAATGTGGATTGTTGGGGTGTTTTTGTAATTTTTAAAAAAATGTTTAGGGGTATTTAATTAAATTAACAAATTTAGAGGGTTTAAAAAAATTTGAATAATATTGAAAGTAGTATTCCCCAAAATGAGAGTTTTTGAGTATTTTATTATTTAACTTTTTTGGGAATACTAAAAGTAGTATTCCCAATTTTGAACCAAACGAAGCCCTTAAATTTCCAATAATTTTCTCTCGAATAATTATCAAATTAATCCCTAATTATCTCTAATCATATTTAAGCAATTGGGGATCATTACGCTCTATGGAGTTTACCAAAGCCTCACAAGTCGCAGTAACCTATCTCTAGCGTTCGCTCAACTTATGGTTTTACTACCGTAGACCAACTAAGTATTATCTCTCGATCTCAACTTAGTCCATTAGTTCATTCAATTCTTGGGCCCTTAAGAATCAAAAGCATTAGGAATAATAGTAAAACTTAGAAAGAATTCTTAATACAAATTAACAATCAAAGATCAATACATAATTAAGAGATTGGGCTATATCTAGGCCCTAGAGAATAAAATTAGTTCATAATAAACATAAAAAAAATAATCATATTTATTAAAACATTCATCATGAGTTTACAAGAAAAGAATAAGGAAAACTTCTCTATATTGTGAATCAAAGCTCCAGAATTTATGTTACTTCTCTTCTCTCCAGATTTTTATCCCTTTCTTCTCACCAAAGAATCCCTTAAATAATATTAAAAGACTTCTATTTATATCCCACAAGGGTCAGGGTTTGTTTTTCCTTAATTCTATTTGGTTTGGAACTCTTAACCTTATTCTCCTAGCTAAAAACGGACAACAAACTAGTGCCTTCTGTGACTGTGCCGCGGCACTGTGCTGTGGCACAGTAGCTACTGAAAAAAGTGTGTCGCTGCACAGTAGCTGTTGCCCTTTTCCCGCATTATTCCACTGTTCTTCAAAGATGTTTATTTTTGGACATGATAACGATGGAATTTGGAAAAGTTTTAAACATATGAAATGTAGCCCTTTGAATCAGATTTCCAATGGTCTAAGAATCATCTTAATCTGAGTTCTACATCTCAAGATATTCTCAAAATACCGAGGCATGTGCAAACTAAAACGTAATCTAGAATCTTCTCTTTACTTCAACTTCCATAACTTCTTCAATTCAACTTTGATTCTTGATCCGTTTGTTTCCACTCGTCACTCATTCCGTTGCAAACATGATTCTTCATTCGAGCATAACATTTAAGCACTAGTAACCTGAAAAACACTAAAAAACACTCGTGATTCTGTAAAAGGTAATTTTAAAAATATTAAGAAGCCTAATTTTCGACAATTAATCCCCCCAAAACCACTAACTAAATGTGTATTTTTATCACAATCCAATCCAATCTCTTTACCATCTGTTATCTCATCAAGGTTGAAGTACATAAATAGTGTCAACTTCAAACATTTTCCTTGACACATTGGCATTTGGTTGTAAAACAACAAAAATCAACAAACCCAGATTGCAAAATGACTTAAAGTAAAGAAATTCAAATGAATAGCATCAATCTGACTCAACAAAGGCATGAAAATTCAAGAAATAACAGAAATGCTAATCTTAGATATGACAGGACCCATAAATTAAAACGCCAAAAACCAACAAACCGAGATAGAAAAATCACAAATTACGCAAAATCACAATATAAAAATTAATGCGACTCAATAAAAGCATCACAATTCGTGAAAAACAGACACGATACATGGTAAATATAATAAGACCCCGACAAACTCAGATAGAAAAAGCACTTAAATTACACAAAAAGACAGGAACAAAATTAATCCGACTCAATAAAAGAATCATAATTCATGTAAAACAGACACTTTTGTATTAGTAATATAATAAGACCCACACTGTAAAACACCAAAAACCACCAAACTCAGACGGAAAAGCAATTAAATTACACAAAAACCACCAAATTCAGACGGAAAAGCACTTAAATTACACAAAAAACACAAGATAAAAATTAATCCGTCTCAGTAAAAGCATCCGAAATCATGAAAAATAGACACGTTAGTATTTTAAATGTAACAAGACCCATAGTGAAAAACTCCAAAAACCAACAAACCTAGGTAGATAAGCACTTAAATTACACACACGCAAAAAAAAAAAAAAAAAAAAAGATAAATTAATCTCACTCAATAAAAGCATCCGAATTCATGAAAACACAGGCGCATTAATATGATAAATATAACGAGACCCATTATGAAAAACTTCAAAAACCAACAAACCCAGATAGGAAAATCACTTAAATTATAAAAATCACAAGTAGAGGATGAACAAAAATCAATAAAAGAATCAAAATTGATTGAAAAAAAGAAAAAAGAAAAAAGAAATGAGAATGATTACTCGGGCATAGGTTGTATCGATTCCAGTAGAGTCCAAAGCGTCGTGCAACGCCAACTTGAGCTCACTCGCGGCGTACGGCGCGTGGGATCCGCCATGACACACTACTCGGAAACACGATGACGGCAGCGGAAATTTGGAGAATTTCGGAGAAGGACAAAACGACGCCGCAGGGTATAAGGAAAGAGTCATGATTTACAAAGAAAGAGATGAGAGAATAGAGAGAAAATAAACTCTAATTATTGGAGGGAGGAAGAAGAGAAAGTGAAGGTTTTGTTTGGTAGAAAATGGCTGATAAGTAAGGGAAATTAAAAACATCAAGGCTGTGCCTGTGCATGAAAAAGACAAAGCTTTCGAAAATGACTGATATGTGAACCTTTTTGAGATTTTTTATTTTTGAAAAACGGTTACAACTTATCACTTTTTAGTTGGAGTAGGAAAATAAATAATAAATAAATATACTATTTTACTAAAAAAGTCACCAAACATTTTCCTTGACACATTGACATTTGGTTGTTAGACCAATGACTAAACAAAAATTATATTTGAGTAACAATTCAATTCCACTATGGCCATAAATTTATGGTCATTGTCACTTACAAAATAGCCTAATGAGATAACTACTTTTGTACCTAAGAGTGATGAATCATTTGTTAGTCCACTATAGATATAGTGCTCTTCTCAATATAGACAATCACCACCTTATTGATAATCCTTAAAAAGACTGTGTTAGGCTAGCGTCAAAATAAACCAATATTTACACACGACGCTTTAGTGACCTCAAATCTCATTTGTTAGTCCACTATAGATATAGTGTACTTCTCAATATAGACAACCATCACCTTATTGATAATCCTTAAAAAGACTATGTTAGGCTAGCGTCAAATTAAACCAATATTTACACACGACGCTTTAGTGACCTCAAATCTAAGGATTACATACACCACCATCCGTTAGAGGATATGTTTCATAGACATTGGAGTTACCATCCATATAGAAATCTCTAGAGGGTCAGTTTAGTGAACTTGCATATAACAAACCCCCATGCGTTGCACTGATTTGTCACTAAACAACTTTGACATGTGAGATCTATCACTACCTTTTGGTAGAATCTTTCAATGCTATGATAGTCTTATCGTATTATTTGTGTCCTTGGTTAGAATAATACAGAGACTATGAACGTTTCTAGAATGACCACCACATGTGATCATAGTGTCCTTACAATCAAGTACTCATCACGGTTCTACTATTTTAACGACATATATAAATACATGAAATAATATGAATAACATGATATAGTAATACGTGCCTTTATTGATAATTAACATGATGTTACAAAGAGTCAAATATACAAATAGGATTGGCTATAAGGCACCTACACTAACACAACCTCCCTTCCAATATGCACCACCTGTACTCAAGCTGTAGTTTGCTAGCAAAATCCCGC